CCACAAAACTTTCTTATTCAGTAAACCTATCTTTCTCTTCCTGAATAAACTTCGTTTCAAGCTTACTTAACTTTAGAGTGTCTGGTCATATTTCAACCAAGAGCACTCAAATAACTGACAGGGGTCCCCTGTCTGAAACCCTGATACTGTAGGGTGCAGACAGCTGTCTTAAAACCCAAAATTCCATTCAGTTTGAGATGTCTGAAAGCCCTCCCAAGGGTAGAGTGAGGGGGAAGACAGGGTCGAGGTTGGATTTGGGAACTCTTTCGATGCTCCAGAACCAGGCAAAAGAGGAACTAAGAATTGGCATCCACTTCTTTGTAATAAGAGTGTGAGCCAGCCTCCTTGTTCCCCTTTCCTGGGTTTCAGGCACACCCTTGGGATGTCAGTGGTGTCAGAGTCTAGAATCAAATCTAGAGGAGACCGAGGTCAAAGGTTCCCGGACTGCAAAGAACATTTTGGCCATGTTATGGAGAAAAAGTGCTCTGTCCTAGAATAAAAGTTGCAAGACTGGGCTGGGTGTGGTGGCTCACACCTGGAATCCTAGCATTCTGGGAGGCTGAGGCAGGTGGATCCCTTTAGCGTAGGATTTTAAGACCAGCCTGGGAAAGAGTGAGACTCCATCTCTGCTGAAAATAGAAAAACTAGCCAGGCATTGTGGTGGGCACCTGTAGTCCCAGCTGCTCGGGAGACTAAGGCAAGAGGATTGTTTGAGCACAAAAGTTGGAGGTTGCTGTCAGCTAGCCTGGCATCACAGCACTCTACCCAGGGCGTCATAGTAAGACTTTGTTTCAAAAAAAAAAAAACTGTCCACTGGTTGCTAAACTTGACATCATCTTGGCCCACGATTCTCTGCTCGTTATAGTCCATTTCTTTCAGTTTCTCCAATGTCAAGCAAACCTCAGGGCCTTCGTACTTGCCATAGAGATTAAGGTTGGTTCATTCTTTGTTCCCTGCACAAAGACCAGCCCCCTCCAGCAGAGACCTTCCCGGACAACACAAGCGGAATAGACTCCCTCCCCCATCCCCCTCCAGCAGAGACCTTCCCGGACAACACAAGCGGAATAGACTCCCTCCCCCATCCCAGACTCTGCTTTATTATTATAGGG